CTGTAATAATAGTTAATGAAAATATGACACGGATATTAATTAAATATCTTTGATAGGATATTAATAAAAATATGTCGGCTTACCGTCTGTAATAGCAATTAATATACAGTGAATAACATAACTCAAATAAACAGAAACACTTTTGATAACAAATATGAATATAAAAATGCTTACGCTCTGTAATTTTAGTTAAAAAATATAACTCGGATCAGTTAATAAACCTTCGATTTAAATTTACTCAACAAATTTCAAATATGCTTGCCAACTAAAATAAAGAGCAACTCGGATCAGCTAATGAATCTTTGATACGAATTTACACAAAAAAATATAAAATATGCCTACCAACTAAAAATAAAGAATATAGCTTATATTAATTAAAACATAATTGATACGGACTTCCACTAGATGAAAATATGTTTACCGTCTATAATCATAGTTAAAGTAAAGAATATAACTCATATTAATCCATGTAAACTATTGACAAATACTAATAAATACTACTTAAGGATGCTTTGATCATTCTTTTAAGAAGATTCATAATCAACGACAATTGAAGGGCAATTCAATAATATAATAAATAATATCGTGAAGTTATAACGACGTAAACGCAATATTGTAATTTATGCAACACATTGTACACATGTGACGTAGAAACACGAACAAATAAAGTTATCAATACAAAATCAGGTAAAAAAACCAAATAAAGTAATGTGGTATGTTGCATGAAAATGTTAGCGCGTTTTAACGACCAATTATAAATTTTTTGGTTTCCATTAATTGGAAATTTTGATAACTGAAGTCGTACAACAGTTTGCAATTGTTTTACTAATAATATAAAATAATTCCCACTTATTAAACTTTGTATTCTATTTATGTTGCAACTAAATTCTTTAATTTCTGATGTAATGGGTAAAGAAGGAGAATGCCTTTCTCGCGTGAAATGTGACTTGAGTCAATTAAAACGATGCAATAGAAGATTAATACGGTATTAGCAAAGAAAATTCAACAGTTATGTCCGTGCAGCGCTATTTTCGTGTAACACAATCATAACTGTTGTGGGAGTTGGAACGGCGAGTCTGTTGCTACGTCGGGATCGCCGATCGTGTAACGTGGAATAGAGGCGTGGAGATGTGGCACGAGGTAGGTGAGAGCGTTAGATAATAATCTTAGTTGTATTTTTAAAGGACTGTTTTATTATTATTTGTTTCTCTAATACATTTCTCTCTTTTATACATGTTAGAAAAATCCTAAAAATCCTAAAAATTCCTTAAGCTCCAATTAAATCTTAATTGGGTGAGGATGACATATGTCGAACCTATTTAATTTTTCAACCCTCTTACACTGTATTGAGTTGTAAAGTCAGAGAAGTCTAAATTTTAATTTTTAAATAAAGTTTAATAAAGATTTGATATTATTACTATCCAGTGATATGCAATTAAAAATTGCAATTAAATTGAATTATTACAATTAATAATTGATATTGGTAATAACATTACAACCAATAGTACAATAATTGTAAGTAATTGATAATTAGCTTATTCAGATTCAATTTCATTATAAACAGATTGTCAAAGTCTTCTGTTTCAAAAACAGCTATAAATTTTAAAAATAAAACCATTTATAATATACTTAGTAGCATTTTTTTTTCTTTGATCAATGATAACCAGCTTTGCTTGACTAAAAAATTGCTCTACTAAGTTTGAAGTAGAAGGAATAAATTTTAAGTTTAGATACTTAAACAAGTAAGGTTTTTTAAAAACTTTTTCAACAAAAGATTCTTGTTCTCTCATTTTATTTATTTTTATTTTCAAGCATTTTATAGCTGTTGTTTCTTTTACTGTTAAATTTTCATTTTCTGCTATTACTTTGCAAATTCTAAACTCAAATGAAGGATTGTATACAATCAAAGCATGTTCACTTAAATATTCTCCAACAATTGAATATTTATTAATCAAGGTATCAAATAAACAATACACAATAAAAAGATCATATTATCTTTTAAAATAATCTTAAATATTGACTCAAAATCAATAAGTTTTCTCAATAATTTTTTAAGAGAATTTTGTTTGCTTCTAAAAGAATAAACTCAAACTATTCTTTATCTTATTTATTCAAATAAGAAATCAATTCAAAAAATCATTGCAAAAGTAATTAACCATCTAGTTTAATTTCTCTTAATAGGTTGAAAATTACAACTACAATGTAATTTGACTGCTTGTTTTATAATTGAAAGCTTTATTATTAGCTTATTTATATTTTCAATAAAGTATTGTGTTCTTCAAGAAAATACTTTACTGTCAAGTAAGTTTATAGCTCACATATCTGATTAAAGAAATATTTAATAATTTAGCAAGTGCCTTATTTGTATTGCAGTTATTCCCAGCCAAAAAAAAAAGACAATCTGATTGTAGAGCAACTTCATAATACTTCAAGACAAAGATAATAAACTGTTTATAAGCTTCGCCAGTTAATACAGTATATACTTCTTGATGGTATTTTTATGATAATCAGAAATTGGTTAAAATGCAAGTAACAGTAACTGGAATCTTTTTTTCATTGTAGTAATAAGCAAATAAAGCAATATAATAATCATTTCATTTTTTCTATCCATCTAATAATAATTCAAAATTATTGGATAATTCTTTTTTTAAATTTTATTCTGTCTTTTCTATCAATATTTTTATATGCTTTTTTAATATATTTAAAGAAATATAATCCTACTTAAACATTTTATTAACTAGAGAATTATTCACAAAACCAAGAAGTAATTTCAAATAAATAATGAATTAGATCTAACTTTAATTTTTTTAACTGATGAAGTAAGTGCAAAAATATTTTTCATATTCTTTTTCATAATTTCTTAATAATCTTTATGCTTACTACTAATATAGCTAAAAATATTTAATAAGTCAATTTTCCCCCTTTTTTAATAGTTATAATAGAAACTTCTTCATTATCATGCAATATTTGTATTTCCAATATTCTGTTTCTTTATCATTTTTCCTTTCTTCAATAAAGAAAAAACATATTATAGTTTCATATGCCATGGAAATTTTTTTTAATATTGAAAATTAAAAAAATTGTTACCTTAGTAATCAATAATTGAAATTGATAAACTATTTTGGTCATGACATAATTACAATTATTAATAATTTAATTATTTATTACATATCACTATTATTATCAATAATTATCTTTTAGCAAGTGGGATATATAAAAGAAATAATCCTAAAATAAAAATAAATAAATAATCAATACATAAAAATTATTCCTTTTACTTCATTAAATAACAACACTTATTTATTAACAAATGTTTGTTTCTATTAAAATAATATTATAATTAATTAAATTTATTCTTTTAGAATTATCAAATTGAAAAAACAATCTGAATTGCTGCAAGAAAATAATATGGCAAGGTTATTGGAAAGTAATTAAAAAATGAATTCACATATCTCTTGTATAGATATAAGGTATTATATATCAAGAATTATATAAAAAAAAGAACAATACTATTATTTGTTATATAAATTTATATAGAAATATAGAATTTCAATAAAAATTTTTTATTAAAAAAAACTTTAAAAGACTCAGGAAAAAAGTTTTTTTCTAAAGGCTATCCTCTTAATTATAAATTTCTTTTTTTGAATATCTTTAATACTGATATATTCAAACTTAAAACAATAATCATTTACAAAAATACCAAAATCAATAAAATTATTATTTTCTCTTCAGCCTCAATTTTAAAACTTTTACAATTAGAAAACACTTTTCAAGTTTAACTCATATCAATATACTTAATAATTAATGGTTCAAAATATACATGTCCTTAAAAAATTATAGATTCTTGATAAAATTAATTGAGTTGCTATTAAAACATATAAATAATTAAATTATAGTACAATTATTTTTAAGAATTTTTAAAGAAATTACAAAATGCTTCAGAGCTTATTACAACTTTAATTTTCTTTTTCACTTATTTTATATAAAGATTCAATCTTCAAATGATTCTTTGAATTTCAAAACAAAAAATACGAGATATCTTTTTTTTATAAACAATATTAGCCTAAAAAATCTTTATAACTTAGTTAATAAATTAAAAAACTGCTATTATATTTTTAATAAACTTTCAAATTATACTTTAATTTATTTTCTTTTAAACAAATACAAATTTTTATCATTGGAATATACAGTAGTTAAAAATTAGTGCAAGTTTTATCCAAGATCAATTATATCATATTAATTATGAATCTAAATAATTAAATTATGTCATTCAGAATTTAAAAATATATAATAATTTAGCAATAAAAAAATACAATATTTGATGAACATAAAATATTTTATATTAAATTAGTTTGATAACAATTATCGTTTTTTAATCCTAAATATTAAATCTTAATAATTTTAACAAAATTGCAATAACAATAATTTATAAAAATTACAATTCCCCAAAATTTAGTTTATTATTATGTTTGGCAAATTACGCGTTTTCAAAAAAAATTACGTTCATAATAATATTTGACCAATCTAATTAATAATTGATAAATCTATTCTAAAATTTAAAAATTTAAAATTTAATTAAATTATTTATTATATTTTTCTTTCGTTTCTTTCATTTATTTCTTTCATTTTTTTTACCAATTCCCAACCAATGTATAGAAGATCTTAATGAGCGAATAATTCAAAAACAATTGAAAAAAGTTTACTGAGAAAATTATCGAAAACTTAAAACAAATTATAAACTCGTGCTTATATTGGTTGAATATAACGAAATCAAGGACCGTCGGTTAAATATACAATATATGATGGAAATATGTTCTGCGAAAAGATAATGGATAGAAAATAGACTTCGATAATTTCCTTTGTAAATTCCAGAAATTGCTTTTTCTATTAAAATAAATATTAACCTGAAAAAATTTTTTTGGCTTTAAAAAAATCATAAAAACGTAATTGTTCGAAGTATTTTATGAGAGTCGATAGATTCTAATAAAACGCTTTAATTGTCAAAGCAATATTGCATCTCCATTGGCGTCTTCTATTTGTACCATCATAATTATTCCTTCCGTAACCTCACCACAGCGATCGTTATTTTGTGTGGGGCTTCCACGCATCCATAATGGTGTGGAATTGTTTGTCAGTGTGTCTATATTTATTCCATGTTTTTGGGACAGATGCTATCATGAAAGTTTAATTCTATTTTCAGAGTAAACAACAAATAAAATACTAATGTAGTGATAGGGTTAGATACTAGAGCAAAGTTCGAGAATCATAATCATATTATGAGAATTGTGAGTGTATAACCTTTAGCTACTACGTATGAATCATTAATATATACAGTAAGGCGCGAGCTATAGGGTTGTAAGCAGCCACCATTTACGGTCAACTCTCGATTTTGCTACTGTATATGATACACCTTAATTAGCTAAATTAATTTTAGTGATTAATGCATCAACTTCGAATATTTTATTGATTGACAAATTATTACTATAATTAGGGTTTCTTTTAATAAAGTGCCGGTTAACTGTAAATCATGTGATAATAATTGGTTATTGTTATAATTTATGATTTTTCTTGATACCTAGTAATCAAAATTGGTTTAAATTTATAAATCTAATATAAAACCAAAATATATACTATTTATAAAAATTTTAGTCAAATTTAATTGTTAAATGTCAAAAAAATTCATCCTATACGATAAAAGATTTTTAACTATTGTATACAACAATTTTTTAAATATCTAGTAATTAAATTTGACTAAAATTTTAATAAATAGTATATATTTGGTCGTTTTAATAAATATCTAAATTTAAATCAATTTTGATCATAGGGTATTAAAAAAAACAACAAATTTTTTTTTGAAATTAGGATTTTTTAATGTTTATTCGAAAACCCCCCCGTGTTTTAAATTTTCTTTTATTAAATAAACCGGGGCCCGGAAAAATCGATGATCATAACTAAAATAATAATTGTCAATTTATCAAACTTGATGCCCTTTGATCGCTGCTACAAATACTAATTATAGAAAGTTTGTACTGTACAATGGTTCTTTTATCGAGAGTTGACCGCAATCGGTGCGAGGTGTCATAGCCATTCTTCCATCTCTGATAGTAAAGGGTTTACACAGCTATCGCATCATTCTTCTGATAGTGAGAGTGTGCACAGCTCGTCATATGTGGGTGGCGGGGAACTCTAAGCGCAATCAATTTTAAATTTGCTTTCCTTTAAATATTTATTAACCGATCTGAACTACAGTACATACAAATAATCTGTTAATGATCGCGATAATAAAAACTCCCGTGAATTCGTAATCTCATAACAAACAGTAGCTTACGTTATACTGTCGAAGGTTGCATACGTATATACATTTCTAGGCATATCGGAACTTTACTCTTATTGAATCTGACGGTTAATCAATTTTCTTTCAAAAGCGAAGCTTGTTTCATGTGAAAGTAGTTGATAAGACACGTTGATTCAAAAAAATATTAGAAAGGATAAATGTATAGAACTTCGTCCTGAGTAGTATTTCTTACTCATGAATCTGTTATTAGAATCGAATTTTATACGTACGTGTTCCTTGGAATAAAGATAGCTACTTTATTATAATTACATTTTGAGATTTGTTCGGGTTGTTTTTAGAAAGGTTTTATTGACTTAAGAAATATTAATAAATTTCTGGATTATAATTTTATTTATATTTTATCTGAATTTTAGATTGGCAATCGATAATTATTTTCATTCAGTAAAAACTTCGAAAGTCAGCAAAAATTTCATATAAAGATAAAAATACGTAATTATTATTTTAGTCACGCAATTTCTGAATCTACCCCAACAATATTAGACTAATTGGTTTGATTGATTTACTGTATCTAGGAACCGATTGGTTAATAACTTAAAAAAGGAATTGCGAAATAGATTGTAGGATAATGTGCCTCACTGAAAGTTTTTCTGGTTAAATGAAACGCCACTCTCATAATGTGGCTGTTCACCGCGAAGATACCACAAGAAGACTGTTCTTGGTTGTCGGTACACGATTATATTGCCATTCGTTACATAATACACGGCACAAGGTCTCATACCTGTATTTCCTTCTACAGTATTACGCTTTTTCTGTTACACTGAGCCACATCTCGCGATACTTAATGCAGGTACGCGAGAAAGATACTCCCCTTACAATATAAAGTCTTTAGATAAAATAGAATGGATAAACTAAATAGATTAAACATAAACGTATAAAATAAATTAGTGTTATTATTATACAAGTAACTAATGCTATTGACACTAAATATTCAATAATTGCTATTAACTCATTCTCTTCTCGAATTCTATTGATCCACTTACTATTATTCTCTTTTCACGTTTTGTACACTTCACACAATCTCCAGAAGAATTAATAATACGATGGCTATGTAAACTTCACACTATAAGAGATATAATAATGCCGTGGCTGCGTAAATTGATAAATAAGGCATACAGTATTAGCTAAATCAGATAAAAGGCATACTTTCAGTATATCCGAGCTTTGTTCTAGCCTCTCACCGTTGCGCTAACATGGCGATACCTTTTTTAATATTGTTGTTCATTCTGAAGGTATAATTAAACTTCTATGACAGTATCTATCATAAAATCATAGAGGAATTGATATCTGGCTCAATGAATATACTCTTATGGAATAATATCGGTGAATTTTACCAGGATCACGGCAGTGTTGTCACACCAGTGCAAGCCATACCACCTGGAAGACTCTCATGGCGATGCAATATGGCTTTGATAATTAAAGTGTTTTTTAGAATCTATCTATTCTTATAAAAATCTCTAATAAATTCTTTCAACCATTTTTACATGTTTTTTTTTTTGAATTAGAATCATTTTTTTTTAGGTTGGTATTTTTAATAAATTAAGGTTATTAAATTAGGGCTATTATTATTTTTAATTTTAACTTTGAAGGACTTGAATCAATAAGAAAATATCCCAAAAATGAACATTAAACTCTTGACTACCTTGCTTTTCGTTACTCTATTTTATACTCTATTCTCCGCGGCTAATGCTATAAAGAAAAGTAAGCTTTAATTAATTTTTGTTTTATTCACACAAAATTTTACATTTTATCGTTAATTATGTCTGTTTTTATCCTAAAAAATATCAATTTAACGCATAATAGGAGAAGCTATTCCTGGATTTCGAAAAAGTAATGTTATCAATTTCCGTTTTATTCACGCAAAATTAATTGTCTTTTTCCTAAAAAATATTAATTCAACACAATAGGAGAAGCGATTCCTGGATTTTTCGGATGTAAATATTTATCGACTATTATTTATTTACTGTTTTCTCTTATCAATATATACTAACCAAATACTGTATTGACTTCTTTTCCACATATGCAAATTTCGATATCTATTTTATTATACTGTATACTGTATTCACATATTGTAACATATTGTAACAAGTTGAGGGTACATTTTAAATGTTATCTATGGCTTCCAAAAACAAATACTGTACATCATAACAACTAAGACTAATTAATTCTATATTTATTTTATTAACTCATTGGTTCGTTAATGCAATATAGGTTTCACCGTATTTGTTTTCTTAAAATATTTCATTAACCGATTTTATAATTTATCTATCTTGTCGAACCATTAGGATGTAAGTATAGGTTTTGTTATATCTGTTTTCCTTAAATCTAATCTATTTATCTGTTAAACCATTAGGGTGTGTATACGCTTTGTTATATGTTAATTTCTCAAAAAAAAATTTTTTTTCTCTAATCGATTTTATTTATTATACTAAATAAAGGAATAAAGGGTCGTCGTGGTTAATAATAATCTCTCCAATCAATTTATGATCCATTTATTATTAACTTATTGGGACATTATGTAAGTTTTATTACACTGTATTTGTTACTTCTTAAAAAAAACGAACGTTTCTCTAATGTGTATTATCAAACTATTAGGTTGTGAGTAAATATGTGATTATTTATTCTCTTTAAAAATACTATTTAAATATTGATTTCATAACCAATCTAACTCTGCGGCTAGAATCTTGTCAAGTAATTTTTTTTTCTCGAAAATAAGCTCGAGCTTCTTATTTTATATTGTAGATATTTATTTATCGTATAATAAATTGATATTTAAGTAAATCTTTGCTTTAATTGACATTTAATACTATCAAATCTGAAAAAATTAATGAAAAATTCATCAATACATTATTTATGAATAAGCTCCACTATGCTGCCACCTGAGATGCGTTACGTGCCTGCTCTCATTATGGCATCATATATTATAAATTTAAATTAATATGGGTTTTCTTTTTTTGACAATTAACTTCATTAACTTTATAGGTTCTAATTAGAAAGAAACATTTTATAGAAAATGATTATTAAACCCTTGGCAACATTTCTTATTACCATTCTATTTATTCTCCGTAGTCAACGCGGACCATTTTGCAAAGAAGACAATATTTCTATAGCTTACTTTACATTTATTTATTTGTTCTATTGAGCCACAGTTCACTAATGTAAATTTTCTTATATTAAAGACTTCTTGATATTTTACTTCTATTTAAAATAAGATTTCTTATTTATATTGATTAGATTTTAATTGTTTTTTTTTAATAATATTTTTTCTCCTACTTCATTGTTAATAATAATATCATTTAGTTAAATAAATAGTGTTGTCTAATAAAATTGTTTAATGTAATATTTTAATTTATTACCAGAACCTATGCAGGACATTGATTATATACTCTTCTAATTTAACAGTTGTGTTGTTTTGATTTTTCTATGTAATACAAATGTTAACTAATATTGTGTATTGTAAAACTTTTGATAAGGGTAAACAAAATATAGCTTTTGGTGAAAAAAAATTTGAATGGAAATTATAAAAACTAAGAAAAAACCAAAAACTTAAAAAAAATAAAATATTATCTCTTGGAGTAGTTATTTAAATTATATATAGATTTAAAAATAAAAAATGTAATATTTTTATGTAGATTGTATAAAAAAATAATCTTGACATGAAAATTAACTTTCTGTTCACCTTCTTTTTTTCAATTTATTGATCAATACCTTTGAAAATAATAAACCTCTTGGGCAGGCTATTCTCAATATTAGTTCTTTGATTTATATTCTCTTTACAAAGAAACAAAATTCACTAGACAGTTTTTGAGGAAGAAAATCTTTTTAAAAGAGCAATTTTCTATAAAAGAATATGTATATGACAAAGATTTTTTTTAATAACTATAATAGTTATATAATATATTTTCAGATTATTTATTAAAATAAGCAAAATTTTCTCTCAAAAATAAAAATATGAAAGATATATTCTTATTTCACTTATATAATTTCTATATTATTTGTACATTATTAATATATTACCCATACAAATAAATTTGTATGAAGTTTCTAAAGCATATTATATAAGTACAAAATAATATTTGTCTATATATTATTTAATTGATCTATACATTATTTTGAATATATTCATGTGTATTATTTTAAAATAAATATTAATTTTTCAATAATATATAAGTACAAAATAATGTCCAAGAGTGCCTTTTAAATTTCAATCTAAATTAGGCTTAATTCAAGGCATAATTACATTATTTACATTTTTAAAAATATTATTATTTTGAGATACCCATGAATAATATTTTGATACAATATACTGTATGTAATTTTTATAATTTTTATAATTTAAATTATATGGCATGAATAATACATTAGTAAACAAATAATGTAGGTCACATAAATAAAATAAAAAAACTATCTCTCATATTTTATTTTTGGAAAAAATCTTTGCTAAAATATATAATATAAATTTAGGTGACATTTTATTTTTATATATATGCATGTTATTCTAATTTTAGAGTTCAAAAATTTTCTGTCCACCTTTAAAAAGAATTATTCATATAGTAACTTGAATATTTTATTTTAAATTTTGTTGATGTTTTTGAAACCAATATGTATTGAATTAAGGTTTTTGAAAAAAATATTTAATTGAAGAATGCCTGTTGCAAAATTAATAATGTGGATGCAGGTATTTAATAATTTTTGTATTTGTTTTTCATCAAAGTTTTTGTTGTTTTTGAATTTTTTTTCAATAGTATTTATATGTTATTGATTATTTTTTAAGTGTTGTTAGACTTTCTTTGCAAATTCAGAAGTTATAAATTGTTTTGGGTTTGTATTGTATTATGAATATAGATTATTAGTATATATGTTTTAAGAAATTATATGAAGATATACTTTTGAAAAAGAGTTTTGAAAAGGATTTTGAAACAAAAGTTGTATAGTTTAAATTATACATATGGTAGAATTGAATTTAAAAATTTTTTAAAAACTGTATTACTATTAAAAATATATTAAATTAATTAGAAATCATATTACTATATATGGTAAGAATCAACAATATGACTACATATATAGTTTAAATTAATATTATATAGTTGAAATATGTGTATTTTTAAAAAATATTAAAGTATATATGAGAAGTAATAAGTCAGGTTTAAAGATTGTTTTTGCTCTTTCAAAGTAGCTTATTTCTATTTATTAATATATTTTATTGATTTGTTTAAAATAGTTTCTAATTGAGGTAATATTAATATATATTAAATAAAAAAAGTATTAATAATATTATTTAGAATAAAAGAGTATTTATATATTGTGTTTTTAATATTTTTATAGTAAGTTTCTAAAATAATAAAGAAATTTGAAAAATTTATATTATATTGTAAATATTTGTAATCATTAAAAAATAAGAGAGTTTGCATTTTTTTTTTGTGGTTAAATAGTGATAATAAAAAAGTTTTGTTATTAATTTTGAAGTATTTGAAAAAGAAAATAATGTTTTTTGTTTTATTAATAAATAGTATTATTATAATTGTTTAAAGTAAGGCTAGAAATAGTTGGATATTAAAATATATATTGTTACACTTGATTTTCGTCCAAGATCTTCAATACCCCTTGTCCGATTTTCACTAGCATTGACCCTTGAAATGTTAGTTATTCTAAAATAGTCTTGTATTACAGATCTGTTATTGCACCTTTGGCATCTATTGTATCTATTGTATCTTTACCATTTCTAGAATATTTCTATTTTATTTTATCTTTACCTTCTATATTATTTTTGCCAAAGTATTTATCTATGTAAATGCTACTATAGTTGAATATTCTGACAAAAATAGTATTTATATCTTAACTTATATTTTTACCATAACATATATTTATCCTGTATGAAAATATTATAACTCAAACATGTATATAAAGGCTCCAATTTTACCTAGGAATTGGCAGGCTTGAACATATATTTTGATCAAATAAATAACTTGACCTTTACAAAACAAATCACCATTGCCTCTTTCACCTGATCTCATACATCTCAGAATTGTACTAATTTGTACATCTCTAGGAACTTTAGCACACCACATTAGCCCTGTCCATCTAAAGTGTCTCTCTGCTACTAGTTCTCCATCTTTATCTTTCTCCTAAAGTAGAAATGATATATGACAATAGGTAATATTCTAGTTCTTTAATAGTCTTCAAAAGTGGCACTAATAATATTGGGACTTTCTAAATTAATTTGAACACATTTTTGCATTAGTATTTTGTTACTGTTTTTTTTATTTATTTATTTATTTTTTTATTTAATAAGCTTTGCTCTAATTTATTGATTTTTGTTGTAAACAATATACATTGTATATTTCTGTCCACTAAAAATTATTACAATTAGAATTCACCCACAGGTATACCAT